TACATGTTGTATTCACCTATATTAAGGAATTGAATTAGTTGTATTCATTCAATGTCAGTTGAACTCAGCTGTAGTCCATAATCTGCATATAATTGTATTCACCTGTATTACAGTGTATTCCTCTATTTTCTGTATTCATTTGTATTCAACTTTTTTTTAGCATCTGTATTGAGGTATTCATATATATTATTTCTTAGTTCAAGCAAATAAACTCACACTATCTACCAACCTCTTTTGTTTATAGCATATGGATGTCATATTCTACTATTTGCGAAAGATGGGCAAGTACAATCAGCATAGGGACTTCACGTTTACTACTGTTGATTGTATATTCAAGACAAGAATAGCTGAAATATATGACAGGTATGAAGATACAGATAGTAATGCTAATGTAGCCAAACAAGAAGACGTTGTATGTGAGTATATTAGGGGCTACAGATAACATGCTAATGTACCCTGGCATACAGTGGATAATGTCTTGATACCAGTGAACTTGAAGGAAAAACTTCATTGGGTGTTGGTTGTTGTGACTTTCAAAGATAGATGTATCAAAGTGTACGACTCGTACACGTCTTCCGGTCATGATGCATACGTAGTCTCTGAGATTGTAAAGCTAGCTAAGCTACTACCTCTGTATCTGTCAATTAGTGGCTTTTACAGAGATAGTCAAGGCATTGACTGGTATGCTTACCCCGCATACACAAACAAGGATCATAACGAACCTTTTGAAGTTATCTTCGTTCCAAATCTGCCTCAACAGAAAGCGGGCAGCATGTAAGTATCCAATCATCATTCTTATATGTTTTATACAAAGCTAATTGTATTAATTATTTTATATTTTGTTTCAATCAATTATTTTTAGGGATTGTGGAGTGCATGTTGCAGCCTTCGCGGAGTTTCTGAGCACTATTGGAGAGATTACACAAAAAACACCATTTGATGCCACTCTTCTCCGTCAAAGATATGGTGCTCTGTTATGGGACTATGCTATGTGTAAGATAGATGCTGATGCAATAAGCGAGAGTGAAGCACCTTCAAAGATTGAAAGGCAAATCTCTTAGTCGGAGGCAAAGATGCAGATAGTTTTAGAATAACTTTAGTTTTTTTTTGAGTTTAGCTTGAACAATGATACTGATTGTAGTGGTTTTGGTCGTAGATGCTATTTACTTACATGCTAAAATTTGGTTAAGTTTGCTTGAACAGGTTTTAGTTAACGCACATGTTAGTTACAATTTCTGAAACTTTATGTATGCTAAATGATTTTTGTTAATGCCAATTTTTGAATTGTATTCAGCTACATAAGATCAGCTTTATCTTTCAGTATTAAGCAGTTGTATTTAGTTGTATTATTCTGTTTAGCTGATTATATTAATCTATATTATTGAGTTCAATTCAGTTGTATTAAAGTGTATTTATCAGTTGTCTACAGTTGGTATTCAAGTATATTTAGCTGCATCCATTCAGATATAACTTTGAATTGACTTGAAACAATACAAGTTATATTTATTAACTTGTATTTAGTTGTATTATTCAGCTGTATTCAGCTGTATTTTTCTCTGATTTCATATGTATTCAGCTATAGTCAATTTAATTGAACTGTATTATTAACCTATAGTCAACATTATTGAACATGTTGTATTCAAATGTATTGAACAATTGAATTACCTATATTTATCCAATGTCAGTTAAATTCAACTGTTTCAACCAGCTGTCTAGATTTGTATTCAACTGTATTACAANAACTGTATTACAGTGTATTCCTCCAAAGTCAATTGAATTAAACTGTATTATTAACCTATATTCAACTATATTCAACATGTTGTATTCACCTGTATTAAGGAATTGATATAGTTGTATTCAACTATACTAAGATACTCTCACAACCACTTCATATATATTTATATATATAAAAATACTTCAACTAAATAAATTCAGAAAATATTAACGAAAGTTATTCCACAATATATTACTTCGAAAAAAGAATTTATTATAGCTGATAATGTCATAATAAGTGTTGATAAATTGTCGAATCACACATGTCAGAATACAACTATTTATTACGTGGGGCATTCCTACAAGTTCGCTTGTTATGTCCTCCCTGCCCACATATGCTACATGAATGTTGATTTTTCGGCAACAACAATTCACTTAAATTTTTGTCGCGCTTCTTCTTTGGCCTTCCAGGAGGTCTTTTCCATTTGGGTGGTAGTACAACCTCCTCTGCAACATGCTCTGGTATATTCCAGTCATTTTTGTCCGGTAGCGGGTACACTGGCACATCGTATGCCATTACAATTGTACTTGGCTTGTAATAGCTAGAGCAATATTCTTCAAGCGTTAAAAACTTGCTCTTCAATACAGCCCAGGCATGTGGGCATGACAATTCATCAATTTGGAACCTCCCACAAACACATTTTCTCTCGAGCAGGCAGACTGTGTAATTCCTCCCACCATCGTTAACAGTATGTAAGTATTCAGTTGAGGGTACCACCTACATTTAAAAACAGAAATATAAGTTTTGAACACATTTACATGAATTAACAGATATATACTACTGAGTTAAATGGTTACTATCAACTTTGAAAATTGCAACTTCATCCAATTTCAGTTAAATTCAGCTGATTTCAGCAACTGTATGCAATTGTATTCAACTGTATTACTGTGTATTGATCTACAGTCTGCATTTGTATGGATTTGTATTCAACCATTTTTGAGCAACTGTATTCAGGTATTTCCAATCAATTTAAACTGTATCAATCACCTGAATTGCATTGTAATCATTATCACGTGCACACAGTCTTAATAATCACATGTATTTACCTGTATTCATCTATATTATTTACTAGTTCAAGCAAATATTCATAAAAATTAACGGGTAGTTCTACCTAAAAAAATTGTATTCAGTTGTATACAGCAATGCCATAAAAAATTAACTTACAGTCATACGGGTACACATGGTCTCATTCAACTCCAGCATTT